CATCGCACATGATAAACCAAGTTTGGTTTGTTATTGAATTAATTTCGACTAATATAGATTAACGTGTTAGATTAATAATTTCCACTAACCGGTTTTCATTTCAATTTTGACTTATTCTCCAAGATATTATCACCTTAATCATCTTAATTACCATTTGTTTGCTACAAATAATTAATAGGWGTTTGTTACCATATATTTGGTATTCTAATCCCTGATTATCTGCTCTACAATAAAACCCATAAATTTTATAATTCGAAAACATATTATCACATTATTCTAAATTCATATTAATTACCAATTGTTTGGTAGAAATAATTAATAGAGAAGATTGGCATTTTTTGTTTGACATGTGGCATCTCACATTCATGTTATGAGTTTTAATTTTTGGATAGATTTTTATTTATATATTTAGGTGTAGCTGCATGAATCCCTAATTATCTGCTGTTTATTAAAACAACGCCAATTTTGATTTCAATTTAAAATTGCATAAATGAATAATTACTTCAAATTGAAATTAATTTCTCAATTACCCATTCAAATAAATGCTTGACGTTACTCCATTATCAAATCTGCTGTTTTTAAAACACAGACGTTACTCCAAATTCAAATTAATTCTCAGTTATCACAAAAAAATAAATACTTATTCCCTCTCGGTACAATCTGATCTAATTTCTAATAACTAGGAATATAAAATATTTTTGTTAAGAGTTGTTCTAAKAACTTCTTTGCCTTTTTCTCACAATAGATCTAATCAACTCTCTTTGCTTGTAGGTATTTTTTCATCCCGCAGACCAAAGWAGGTTGTTTCTCCTCTRCTCATACCTTWGTATGATGTTATCATGCAAATGTTGATTAATCATTACAATAAAGCAGGTAAATTTGTTTATAGCAATTATTTAGTTTGATTGTGTAGTGTGTATGATTTTTTAATAATCATTTCTAGGGCAGAATACCACACAAAAAACCCACCTTCGATTCATAACAAAATGAAAACGCATAAATCATCTTACCCGTGATACTTTAAATACATGATCATAATGCTCGATGGTGGTAGTTAATTAGTTCTGCCTAAAGCTTGGGTTTTGGTAAGTTTAGATACTACCATAATGAATTCAAACAGATACATGTACGTTAATCGATGGTGGTCTTAAGATAGTTTTTAGTGTTTCTGCTTCACCTGCTTATGACTTCTAACAAAATGCGGGATTAACATTGCGGATTAAGATATGTATTTGTTTACTCTGCAGGGATGATAGGATCGAACCCGGACTATATATATGCTGTGGAGAAACGACCAGAGCATGTTCTGTCAGTGCAGCGCTTGTAAAGCCGACGTCTTGGGAGCTTGAAGAAGAGCTGGAGAAAAGTGTCAGTGATCTTGGTGCCTATCATCAGGGTGAATATTTACCATAGTTTAATCTTGRTTCTTTTGTTTTCTCTGAAACGAGAACTGTTTTCACTTTCACATTTGCATTTTCTATAGCACAACATCAAAATGGACTTGGAGATATGAAAATAGAAAGATGATTGCAAGTTGCWCCTAACTTCAAAAATCAGCTTATGTCCATGTCCAAGCTCAAAATTATTTCAAGATAACCGACAATGCATAAAGCTGCTATGTTTGTATAAATTTAGTGTTTCTTTGTCTAAAACACTTGAAAGTATATATGCCCATATATTTTTGGGTGTCGAGGTAACAAGCACATTATAGTCGATG